TATAAAAATAAATACATATTTAAAGTGATAGTATTTTCTAGATATAAATAAATGTGTATTTATATATATTGATTTTTATAAAAAATAATATAAATGATAAAAACATAAAAATAATGGGATCCTAAAAAGTTTAATAAAAACTTAATTTTTTTATTAACCTGGATATCGAACCTGGTATGCGAGCCGACTAATCGCAAGACAGTTACTTGCTTTACGGGTAGTCAAGAATCAAAAAATTTGAACTTCCGTGGCCATAACTATTTTTATTACGGAATCGATGCTAACTTCACATGAAAGATAAATATCACTTTAAGATATTAATTAAATTAAAAATAATACACTATTTTTTTCCTAAATTTATCTTCCAAAATTTGTTTATTTTTTTTAATATTATAATGTATTAAAAGATAAATAAGTCACAATATTTAATTTGATGTAAATTATATTGGAAAAAAAAAAACAAATTATCCACGGATTTTTTAAATAAGAAATAAAAAGAATTATTTTATAATAATTAGAATATCGAAATAAGATTTTGTTTTAACAAACTAACTGCGTTGTTATTTAAAATACAGAAATAAAAGAAAACTTAAAGTTTAAAGAATTCTTTAAAACTTGATATGTCGAGAGAAAATGATTTTTTTAATTCCATTTATAGATTGAGTTATTAGTTTGTATAGAGTTTAAAAAAACATTCAGATGATAAAAATTATAAAATATTTAATATTAAAATCTTTAAAATAAAGAATATATTATAATTAAATATAACATTTAAAAGAAAATTAACTTATAAATTTTTATTTTAGAGAAATTATAGACCATTTATTGAAGATGCTTTTAATTAAATATCTAGATTGAATAATTATCGTAATTAATAATATAATATTTATTTTAAAATAATACTAAATAGGTGTTTGCACTACAAGGTTGGTAAATTTTATTTTCGAAATATATCCAGTTATATGTAAATTCCATAACAGGTAATAAACCATTAAAACCAACCAATCAGTATTTTTTTTCCATGTACCTTTCTGTGTTTGATACCTAACTCTCTGTTAGCATTAACCAATGAATGAGTTAAAAAATGTCCCTCACATTTGATGTCCTTGAATACAAGTTATTTATAGGACCAGTTAAAATTGTACAATTTTCTTAAAATTATAATGATCTTATTTTTTCACAATATTTTGTACTTTTGCTTTTAAAATTCCTAAATTGATTTGTATTTATTATAAAAAATCTTTTTTATTAGAAATAAAATAATCATATTTGAATTAATGGGTAGCATTTATTGTATTTCTGTATATTTTATGTAATATATTTTTATTGTTCTCATTCAATGGTTTACGTATTTGTATGATATTATAAAGTATTTGACAAAAACTATTAAAAATCATTAAAAATTAAGAATTATATATGATTTAAAAACATAAGGGACCATTTATTTGATTTAAACAAATGTTTAGATTCCACCAGTGCAGGTATGTAGAAAGTTTACCCTAAAAGTGGCGATTGCTAAATGGGTCCCACACCCAACAATGGCACCTTGTTGAGAAGATGAGCTGGTACCCCCCTGCCTCTACCACTTCTCCCTCTATAAAAGTAACTCGCTACCCACCTCGTCGAGGACGAGAAATCTTTCTCTCTCTCTCTCTCTCTCTCTCTCTCTCTCTCTCTCTCTCTGTCTGGCGTGTGTGTGTGTTGTATCTATATCCATAGCCGTCGCCCTGCTACGTCGGTTGTTTAGTTTTGTTCGTTTTATCTTGAATCATATACAATCCCTTTTGAACGAACATATCGGAACCCAAATTCAAACGCCGCCCAAATCGCTCTTTTCTTTTGCTTCCCACTCTAATCTCAGTCGGAGGTGAAGTGGGTGCTCGCTTGCTTTCGAATCATTTCTTCTTCCAAAACTGATTTGACATCGGTTCAGATCTGATAAAGAACAGTTCACGAAAGCTCTTTATTGAAAGGATCTGAATCAGTGTAACTTTTTCAGAAGATTGTGGGATTTCGATAATGTCGGTGGCTTTGAATCATGCTGTTCATGCTCTACCCGACCCGGATTTGACGAAATCTCTTAATACCCGTCCGTTAAACGGGTTAGCCCGGATTGGGGTCGGAAGGAGCCGGACATGGGCGAGTCGAGGTTCCGTTGTTAAACAGTCTAGTCTGTTAGGGAAGAAATTCTACGGGACTAGGCTGCTACGCGGGTCGGTTTCCGAGACGCTCCATCAATGGAAATCGGATGGTCCAGGTCGTGACCCGAAGCTTAGGGTGGTGGTTCGGTCGTCTTTGTCGCTAGTGCCGGAGAAGCCATTAGGGCTTTATGATCCATCCTTTGATAAGGATGCATGTGGGGTCGGCTTTGTTGCTGAATTATCCGGCAAAAGTAACCGAAAAACGGTAAGTATTTGAAAATTTATTTTTATGTTGAAGTTTTTGGATCAAATTGATGACTGAATTACTTGTGGGATCTGATTCAGGTGACTGATGCGATTGAGATGTTGGTGCGTATGTCACATAGAGGTGCTTGTGGATGTGAAACTAACACCGGCGACGGTGCCGGAATTCTCGTCGGTCTTCCACATGACTTCTACAAGGAGGTATATATATACACACATATATATATATATATATATATATATTTATCTTTCTATATATAGCTTTGTTCATCCTGACCATTTAATGACTTCATTTTGTGGGTGAAAATGTAAATGGTGATTAATCGACAAATTTTCATGATATGAGATTAAAATAATGAGGTGAATTAACCCCAAGGGTGGGTCTGATTGATTTGAGCTTTTGGCTCTAAAAAGATCAAAAGTAGTAGCAGGAGGTCTCAGTTTCAAATCCAATCCAAGGAGGAAAAAAAAATCCTCGTGACCATGACGGTTCAAAATGCGGTGACTCCGGACAAAGCAGTTGGTCGTCCTGGGATTAGTCGGTTCGCATAGCGGGTTGGATATCTAGGTTAATAAAAAAAATATAATGAGGTGAATGGTTCAAAATAAGGTAACATTGAAACCGATCATCCATCTTAATAAACTGGAAAATAGAGGTCTTAGCTTAAATTTCTGTTAAATTGGGTTGTGTAGATTTGGTTTTGATCGGTGAATCAAAAGAATTATTTGTTTTATTGGGTTTAATTTACTGATATATTCATATTACTGGATGCTTTGCATCACCAGGTGGCCAAAGATGAAGGATTTGAGTTACCACCACCTGGGAAATATGCCGTCGGCATGTTCTTCTTGCCCACTTCGGATACCAGAAGGGAGCAAAGCAAGATTGTATTTACAAAGGTATCTTAACTTTAAATGAAGAAATAGTAATGGGGTTTGAATTTACTTGCTCCTATGCAAAGGGTTTCTTGATCTTTATGCTGCATTTGTTTTTAAATTCATGATTCTATTTGCAGGTTGCCGAGTCACTTGGGCACACCGTTCTTGGCTGGCGTTCTGTTCCAACCGAAAATTCTGGATTGGGCAAGTCTGCTATACAAACAGAACCCATCATAGAACAAGTGTTTCTCACACCCACTTCTAGATCAAAAGCTGATTTCGAGCAGCAGGTATTTAGGATCTTCACCAATTACCACCAAAGTTCAAAACTTTAGGTTTTTTGTTCATTTTTAATATGGATGATGCTTATATTGTTTACTGATTGCTATTTGCAGATGTACATACTAAGGAGGGTTTCAATGGTAGCTATCAGGGCTGCGTTGAACCTTCAACATGGCACGGTTAAAGACTTCTATATATGTTCTTTATCATCTAGGTTTGTTCTTTAGTTCTGGTTGATTATTGTTCATATTTATACTTATAAAGGGTTGTTAAAAATTTAATTTATTTTGTTGCAGAACTGTTGTATACAAAGGTCAGTTAAAACCCAACCAGTTGAAGGAGTATTATTATGCAGATCTTGGCAATGAAAGGTTTACGAGCTACATGGCCCTGGTAACTATTTAATCTATACACTTGATTCTTTGTCTGCTGACTCTATACTTAACAACAGCATTGGATCAACCGGTTAACGGGAGAGAGATGCGAGGTTGAGGAATGACTTCTGAGGCATTGAAGTACGATGGTCTCTTAAGTTCTTTAACTCCCTTGATTAATTTATGAATTTGGATTGGATGCTGGATTGGATTCGTTGGTTGGTGGTGAGTTGGTAAATAACCTCGTTAAGAAGTACATCATGTTTACAAAAACTTGATGCAGTGTTTTACTCGGAAGATGAAACTTCCATTCAACAGTTTTTGAAAGAAATTTTGTGTAGGGCTTACATGATGTTTACTACTGGCGCTGTGGTTTGTTGACATCCAAGATACAAACCTTGATCGCTGTTTTGAGTTTTGACATCATTATAGATGGCACTGATTGAAGATTTTTGGTTTTTTGTTCTTCGGTGCAGATTCATTCTCGGTTTTCAACCAACACTTTTCCTAGCTGGGACCGTGCTCAGCCTATGCGTGTTCTTGGCCATAATGGAGAAATTAACACACTTAGGGGGAATGTTAATTGGTAAGTCCTCCAATTTGCAGTCTATCCATTTCTGTTTAAACTCTGTATGTATGTGAGTATGCATGTGTGTCTATATATATTTATCAATCAATTGGTAGCTCTATATGATGAACTTGTATGTTTCTTTATTCAGGATGAAGGCACGTGAAGGCCTTCTAAAATGCAAGGAGCTTGGCCTCTCAAAGAACGAGATGAAGAAACTTCTTCCCATTGTAGATGCGAGTTCATCAGATTCAGGTAAGAACAAATATGTCTGATTTACCACTAAAATGAGTTACAAATATCTTTTAGACCAATTTGTTTTTTAGATATTGCTTAGACCAATTTGCTTTTTAGACATTCCCGACATTTGATTTGATGTGGTAGTCGTATTAACCATTTTTTTCTTGCTCAGGTGCTTTTGATGGTGTTCTCGAGCTTTTAGTGCGTGCCGGTCGAAGTCTTCCTGAAGCTGTTATGATGATGATCCCTGAAGCCTGGCAAAACGACAAGAATATGGATCCTAAAAGGAAGGCCTTATATGAATATTTCTCGGCTTTAATGGAGCCATGGGATGGACCTGCTCTAGTTTCATGTATGATTTTCGTTTCACTCTTGGCGGTTACTCGAAACATCTAATTTGTGCTTAACTAGAAACTCATGTGCAGTTACTGACGGTCGCTACCTTGGAGCTACACTCGATAGAAATGGGCTGCGTCCAGGTCGTTTCTATGTTACTCACAGCGGGCGAGTTGTGATGGCAAGTGAAGTTGGGGTTGTTGATATTCCACCCGAGGACGTTTCTAGGAAAGGTAGACTTAATCCTGGGATGATGCTTCTTGTGGACTTTGAGAAACATACCGTTGTAGATGATGAAGCCTTGAAACAACAATATTCACTATCAAGACCATATGGGAAGTGGCTTGAACAGCAAAAGATTGAATTAAGGAACATCGTTGAATCTGTTAATAAAGCTGGCAGGGCCATCCCTGCAATTGGAGGAGTATTAAAAGTAAGCCTTTCTTCTTTCTTGTCATAAGTTTTTCTTCTTCAGAATTATATTAATTTTTCAAAATTTTAATCTAAAGGCATCTCCCGAGGATGATAACATGGAGAATATGGGTATTCGGGGACTCTTGGCCCCATTGAAGGCTTTTGGGTATGGATCCTTTTTGGTTCAAATACTTGTTTCTTGAATTTTTATTGCCCGTGGATTGAAAATTTGAAATGTTGACTTAATTATGCAGTTACACAGTTGAATCCTTGGAGATGCTTTTACTTCCAATGGCAAAAGATGGTGTTGAAGCCCTTGGTTCAATGGGAAACGATGCTCCATTGGCTGTCATGTCTAACAGAGAGAAGCTAACATTCGAGTATTTCAAGCAAATGTTTGCACAAGTAACAAACCCACCTATTGATCCTATCCGGGAGAAGATTGTAACTTCTATGGAATGCATGGTCGGACCAGAAGGCGATCTTACAGAGACCACAGAAGAGCAATGCCATCGACTCTCTCTAAAAGGACCACTTTTGACTATTGAAGAGATGGAGTCCATTAAGAATATGAACTATAGAGGGTGGCGAAGCAAAGTTCTTGATATAACCTACCCAAAAGAACTTGGTCGAAAGGGATTGGAGGAGACCCTAGATAGGATCTGTTCTCAGGCACATGATGCCATCAAAGAGGGTTATACTACAATTGTGCTTTCTGACAGAGGTAACACATGAAACTATCTTATTATGCATTTGATTTAAAATGTGTTCAATAATTTAACCTTTTTGGTTAATATAATGCAGCTTTTTCATCAAAGCGCGTCGCAGTAAGCTCCCTCTTGGCTGTTGGTGCTGTCCACCATCATTTAGTTAAGAAGCTTGAACGTACCAGAGTTGCATTAATGGTAGAATCTGCCGAGCCACGCGAAGTACACCATTTCTGTACGCTGGTTGGATTTGGAGTTGATGCTATTTGTCCGTATTTGGCCGTGGAAGCCATTTGGAGGATGCAGGTTGATGGCAAGATCCCACCAAAATCTAACGGTGAATTCCACTCAAAGGACGAGTTAGTCAAGAAATTCTATAAAGCAAGTCAGTACGGAATGATGAAGGTTCTTGCCAAGATGGGTATATCAACTTTGGCTTCATATAAGGGTGCACAAATTTTTGAGGCAGTTGGGTTATCAACAGAAGTAATGGAAAGATGTTTTGCTGGTACTCCAAGTCGAGTTGAAGGAGCAACATTCGAAGCTCTTGCTGGGGACGCACTTCAATTGCACGATTTAGGATTTCCATCACGAAAGTTTCCACCAAACAGTGCAGAAGCGGTTTCTTTGCCGAACCCTGGAGATTATCATTGGAGAAAAGGTGGTGAAGCTCATTTGAACGACCCTCTTGCGATAGCAAAGCTGCAAGAGGCAGCCAGGGGTAACAGTGTTGCTGCGTATAAGGAGTATGCAAAGCGTATACATGAATTAAACAGAAGTTGCAATCTGCGTGGATTGTTGAAGTTTAAAGAAGCAAGTGTTAAGGTTCCTTTGGAAGAGGTTGAACCGGCTAGTGAAATTGTTAAGCGATTTTGTACTGGAGCCATGAGTTACGGCTCTATATCATTGGAGGCACACACCACCCTTGCCATGGCTATGAACAAAATTGGAGGCAAATCTAACACAGGTATGTACCTGAAAAATTCTATCTTTATATTTGTGTTCTTGAAAGGGACGGGAATGAAAGGAAAAGAGACAAGTTTTCATGTTCTAGGAAATATGTCATTTTTACAAATATACGCCTTATATTTGTTATTCTCACTTGTCTTTATGAGGGTATTTTTGTCATAAAGATATCTTTTTTGTTTGGTTTTCCCTCTTTCTTTTCCTTCAAAAAAGGGTTTTGAGAACAAGATGTTAAGGTAGACATGAAATATCTGAAGCTTTGTTTTCTTACATCTTTGAAAGCTTACGGATTTATTGTTGAAAAAATTTCTGTAGGTGAGGGAGGTGAAAATCCATCTCGTTTGGTACCTCTTCCCGATGGTTCGATGAATCCAAAGAGAAGTGCTATCAAGCAGGTTGCTAGCGGACGATTTGGAGTTTCTAGTTATTACCTTACAAACGCTGATGAACTGCAAATAAAGATGGCTCAGGTATATTTTCTCTATTGTTTTCTAAACCGAGAGTCTCCCTATTAGTTAAATAAATAGATTGTCGTTAGCCCCCTGTATTCCTGTTGAAACAGGCGTCCCTCTTGTTTATGAATTTATGTTAATGGACAGATGATGCTGAGTCTGCAAAGCACCTCATGGTGACTTTGCATCTTTAAGTCATACCCACATTTGGCATTTGGTGAGGTTAAACATAAACCAGAATGTTTATTATATGTCGAATGATTACATTACTTATTTTGAACTAATTGTCAACAGGGAGCAAAGCCCGGTGAAGGTGGTGAACTTCCGGGACACAAGGTTATTGGCGACATTGCTATCACGAGAAATTCTACAGCCGGGGTTGGATTAATTAGCCCCCCTCCACATCATGATATCTATTCGATCGAAGATCTTGCTCAATTGATTCATGATCTGAAGGTAATAATGTAGTCAATTGCATTAGTTGGATTTCTTTGTTTCTTGCACAATCTGTTAAAAATTTCTGACACTTTGTGGTTATAGAATGCGAATCCATCTGCTCGAGTAAGTGTGAAGTTGGTTTCCGAAGCTGGTGTGGGAGTTATTGCTAGCGGAGTTGTGAAGGGCCATGCGGATCATGTCTTGATCTCCGGTCATGATGGTGGAACGGGTGCTTCTAGGTGGACGGGTATCAAGAGTGCTGGGCTCCCATGGGAACTTGGTCTAGCTGAGACGCATCAGACCCTAGTTGCAAACGATCTTCGTGGTCGAACCGTTCTCCAGACAGATGGTCAGCTGAAAACTGGAAGAGATGTAGCCATTGCAGCTCTCCTTGGGGCTGAGGAGTTTGGTTTCAGTACCGCTCCTCTTATCACACTTGGTTGCATCATGATGAGGAAGTGTCATAAGAACACTTGTCCTGTAGGGATTGCTACCCAAGATCCAGTTCTTCGTGAAAAATTTGCAGGGGAACCCGAACATGTTATCAACTTCTTCTTCATGTTAGCAGAGGAGATGAGGGAAATCATGGCTGAAACGGGTTTTCGGACCGTTAATGAAATGGTGGGACGTGCTGATATGCTTGAAGTCGATAGAGACCTGATTAAAAACAATGAGAAACTAAAGAACATTGATCTGTCTTTATTACTTCGACCAGCTGCTGACATCCGACCAGATGCTGCCCAGATTTGTGTACAAAAACAGGATCACGGTCTGGATATGGCTCTGGATCAACGGTTAATAGTGCTTGCGAAACCTGCATTAGAAAAGGGTCTTCCTGTATACATCGAATCACCAATTTGCAATGTTAATCGGGCAGTAGGGACAATGCTTAGCCATGAAGTAACTAAACGTTACCATTTGGCAGGCCTTCCAGCCGATACCATTCATATCAAACTTAACGGAAGTGCAGGTCAGAGTATTGGAGCCTTCCTTTGCCCGGGAATAATGCTTGAGCTCGAAGGCGATAGCAATGATTATGTTGGGAAAGGCTTGTCAGGTGGCAAGATTGTCGTTTATCCTCCAAAAGGTAGTGGGTTTGATCCTAAAGAGAACATTGTGATCGGAAATGTGGCTCTCTATGGGGCAACCAGTGGAGAAGCTTATTTTAACGGGATGGCAGCCGAACGATTCTGTGTTCGTAATTCTGGGGCTAAAACAGTGGTGGAAGGTGTTGGTGATCACGGGTGTGAATACATGACTGGCGGAACTGTTGTTGTGCTCGGAAAAACTGGGAGGAACTTTGCTGCTGGCATGAGTGGTGGAGTTGCTTATGTTCTTGATGTCGATTCGAAGTTCCGGTCAAGATGTAATACAGAGCTTGTTGATCTTGATAAGGTTGAGGAAGAAGAGGATATTATGACTCTGAGAATGATGATACAGCAACACCAACGACACACAAACAGCCAGTTAGCAAAAGAAGTACTCGCTGACTTCGAGAATCTTTTGCCTAAATTCATTAAGGTCTTCCCAAGGGATTATAAGCGGATTTTGGCTGCCATGAAAGTAACAAAAGCTGCAGAGAAGGCTGCTGAAGAAGCTGATATTAGAGAAGAAGACGAGTTGGAGGAGAAAGATGCTTTTGAAGAACTTAAGAAGTTGGCAGCCAAGTCAAGTGTGGCCGTGAATCAGGTGAATGAAACAGTCAATCAGGTAAATCTTCTTAACCTTTATGAACAGAATTGCTATTCGGTGGTTGTGCTGGATAAACAGTCTAAATGATATAAATGACTATTTTACCCCTCAGCCTATTCAGCCCATTAAGCAGCAAGTGTTTTGGCATTTCAGGTCAAAGAGGTTGAAGAGGTCGAACTGGTCACACGACCATCTCAGGTTGATAATGCCATTAAACACCGTGGATTTGTTGCATACGAGCGTGAGGGAGTATCTTACAGGGACCCTACCGTTCGGATGAATGATTGGAAGGAAGTTATGGAAGAGACAAAACCTGGGCCACTCGTGAAGACTCAAGCTGCACGGTGCATGGATTGTGGTACGCCTTTTTGCCATCAGGTAAGGAACTACTTTCCCTCGTTATGCTGATTGTATTACATCCTTTCCGTGTTGTAGTTAATTTGTCTTTCGAAAACAATGGCAGGAACACTCTGGTTGTCCGCTTGGCAACAAAATTCCCGAATTCAATGAGTTAGTTTACCAAAATAGATGGCGTGAAGCACTAGATCGACTTCTTGAGACCAATAACTTCCCTGAGTTCACCGGCCGAGTGTGCCCAGCTCCATGTGAAGGTTCTTGTGTTCTCGGTATCATCGAGAATCCCGTTTCGATCAAAAGCATCGAGTGCTCGATTATCGACAAGGCCTTCGAGGAAGGGTGGATGGTGCCTAGACCTCCTGTCAAGAGAACAGGGTACGTTTCCTGACTTTTTCTTCAGCTCTACAGTTTTCTCATATTTGGGTATTCTGAAAATTCCCTTATCCAACAGAAAAAAGGTTGCGATTGTTGGGAGTGGACCAGCTGGCTTGGCTGCGGCTGATCAACTAAACAGGATCGGCCACACGGTGACCGTGTTTGAGCGTGCTGATCGAATAGGTGGACTCATGATGTATGGGGTTCCCAACATGAAAGCAGACAAAATTGATGTGGTTCAAAGGCGGGTTGACCTTATGGCCAAGGAAGGTGTGAATTTTGTGGTTAATGCCAATGTGGGAAATGATCCATCGTATTCCATCGAGAGTCTTCGTCAAGACAACGATGCCGTTATTTTAGCGGTGGGTTCAACAAAGCCAAGGTGCGTTACGAGAAGCTGTTAACGAAATTCTGAAATGTGGTCGATATTTTCTACCAGTATACTAAAAGCAACTTGAAATGTACTTTTGCAGGGATCTTCCTGTTCCTGGACGAGAGCTATCGGGAGTACATTTTGCTATGGAATTTCTGCATGCAAATACTAAAAGCTTGTTGGATAGCAATCTTGAGGATGGTCAATATATCTCTGCAAAGGGAAAGAAGGTGATCGTGATCGGTGGAGGTGATACTGGTACCGATTGTATCGGGACTTCTATAAGACATGGTTGCACCAGCATCGTGAATCTTGAGCTTCTTCCTGAGCCACCACGAACCAGGGCTCCAGGCAACCCTTGGCCACAGGTTTGTCAAATCTTGTGTGCAAATATGAGTCACTRCAACAAAATTAGGACGTCAAATATCTCTAAATGCCCAAATAGACGTTCTGTATTTACAACGATATTTAGCTAACAAGGTCTTGTTTTGTGTTGATATTTTTGGCATACAGTGGCCTCGTGTATTCCGTGTTGATTATGGACACCAGGAAGCTGCTACAAAATTYGGCAAAGACCCACGATCATAYGAGGTATTGACTAAAAGGTTYATTGGTGACGAGAATGGAGTAGTGAAAGGGTTGGAGTTGGTTCGTGTTCAGTGGGAGAAGGATGAGAGTGGACGGTTCCAGTTTAAAGAAGTCGAGGGTTCTGAAGAGATCCTCGGAGCTGAYCTGGTTTTGCTAGCCATGGGTTTCCTTGGTCCTGAGCCGGTAAGTATTCTTTTTTGATATAGTACATCCAATCGTTATATTTTCTTAAAATCACTTTAGTTGCTAAACGGGCGGTATTTGCAGACAATTGCGGACAAACTGGGGTTGGAGAAAGACAAGAGGTCAAACGTGAAGGCGGAATACGGGAGGTTTTCAACGAATGTGGAAGGTGTATTTGCTGCTGGTGATTGCCGGAGAGGGCAATCTCTAGTGGTGTGGGCTATCTCGGAAGGGCGGCAGGTGGCGGCACAGGTGGATAAGTTTCTGGTGGAAGATGGAAAGGAAGGTGAAAGCAGGTGGTTAGAATCAGGGAAGAAAGAACAAGAGGCAATTAGGGCATAGTGAAAAAGATAGAGATTAGTTGGGTGGGTTATATGGTGAAAAAGGGTTGGGGAATGAATGAATATGTGTGGGTGTGGAAGTAAGTTTAGTTTTGGTTCAGGTTCAGGTTCAGGTTCAGGCAGCTGAATGAATAAGCTGTGCTGTTTATAGCCTCTGTTTTTTTCTTGGTTGTTGCTTGTTTGAACTTTGATGAAATAAATGTACAGATGGCTCTGTTTTGTTTCATCAATTTTACTTTTGAATATATCTTCATCCAAAATGCATTTGGAATTTGGTTAAGCCAAGTGAAAGGAGAAGTTTAGAGCTGGACAATGAGTCCCGCGGATGGCCACACGGGCAAGGCCGCGTAACTCACTGTGTGGTTTTGGTTGGTCTAAAAGGCGCGGACGACTAATGTTGTGGCCTAAGCCGCAAAAGAAGCCGTGGGAGGCACTGGTCTGCACATTAGAGAGCCGATTTTGGCCCTCTTTCCCGCATTTACTCACCACTAACACCCTCCGCCTCTCAAACCTTCTCGTCTCCTCTCACTTACTCCGATTTTGGAGCATTTACGCCTCATCTAGGTCAAGGATTCAAGTCTAGTCTTCAAGATCTACGAGTGTTCATCTCCCTCTACAAGTTTTCTTGATTTTCTGGGTTTTCATCAAAGTCGGGTATTATGAGTTGATTCTTCACTTTTACAAAATCATATATATGTTAAATGATGTATTTTTCTTTCTCAAAGTTTCCTTTTCAAGTATTTATGTTTTTGGATGATTTTGACCATGTAGGCAAAATTTTGGTATTTTGTGGTTTTGATGAAACAAGTGTGGAGATAGTTTTTAAACGGTCTTTTCCAAGTATTGATGGATTTGGAGCTCAAAACCCTAATTTTCTTATTTTAGGAATTTTGTCAATCAAATGGGATTTTACCAGAATTGAATTTTGTGTATAACATTATCTTTAATGGGTAAAATTTGATAGCGATCAAATGAAAACCACTCCAATTTGTAAAAACCGTAAAAACTACTCTCATTCGTCGATTTCATTGTTTAATCTTATGAAATTTTTTCATGAAATTGTTTAATCTTGTGAAATTGTTTCATATAATACTTTTTTTGATGAAGTTGTTTCATATATGGTTATGAAATTGTTTCATATACTACTTAATGAAACTGTTTCCTGTATTTCTCTAAAATTAATGACATTGTTTCATGTATTTCTCTAAAATTAAAATAATGAAGATGATAATATCCATGATTAACATCATCCACAATAAAAATGATTAATCAACTTCTCATAATTACAAAAAAATGAACAAAATGAAAAATTATGATTAGTTGAATGAAATTTGTACGGTTTGTACAAATTAGGTGGTTTTTATTTGAACGCTCCCCTATATATATATATATATATAGACTTGGGATCATGTGAGACCAAGGTTTTTCCATGAGACCCGTAAGACCAATTCTCAACCTTTGGTTAGATCTACAATCTGAACATTCATAATCACAAAATTGCCACGAGACTTCTCAATAATCACAAAGTTGCGACCGTGTAACTTTAAATCATTAGCTTATAAAGTTGATTAATGACCATACATTGGTCTTACGGGTCTCACAAAAAACCCTTGATCTCACATGAACCCAACCCTATATATATATATATATATATATATATATATATATATACATACACATACATACATTTATGACTATAATGCAATGGATCCATAGACATAAGAGTCGAGTTGATTTAATGGAGGATAATCTCCCTGATTGTAACTAGAATTGGACATTGGGTTATCGGAGGCGTTGAACTATAAATCACATGTTGGTTGAACTCTAGCTATTACCCGCTAAACGTAAATTTTAGTGAATGATTGTAACTAGAATTATCGGGAGGGCCTTGAACTATAAATCACATGTTGGTTGAACTCATAGACCATGATCTTTAGTACAAGCTCTATAACATGGAACTGTGGTCTACTTTTGTGTTTCACCACTACCCATGGAAAATCGGGTCTCCCCCCATCATCGTAAGATGTATTTTAGACCTTATAGTCTCTTGGTTGAATAGTATAATATTTGGATTTTAAATCTCTCCCACGCTTTTAGACCTTATGTTGGTTGAATTCATTGGCCATTGATTTTTAGTATGAGCTCTATAACATAAAACTGTGGTCTACTTTTGTATTCCACCACTACCCATGGAAAATCGGGTCTCTCCCATCATTGTAAGATGTATTTTAGACCTTATGGTCTCTTTGGATTTTAAATCACTCTCCCTCTCTTATTAGATTGAATTGTTTACTTATTTATAAATATTTGTTCTCACTAGATGTTAAGCCTAACACTTTTCTTAAAATGACATGTATATCAAGTTCACTTAGCGGTGGGACTCCGAAGCCTTGAGAGGAGAGATGGGAAGCTGATATAGGCTCTTATGTGGATGATAGTTTTTGGCCAATTGGCGTTACATATACTTTGACAAGATTCTGTTGAGAGAAGATAGAAACACCCGTCTATAATTTAAACTTGAAATAGTTTAGATCAATAGGTTGTTATCTATCCTCTTTATATTTAAGTTGCAACGCTATACTAATTCCCCATTTTGGGTGATCTCGTTATTGATAGACTCTATTTCCATTTAAATATCTGGTTTAAATTTACTCATATTTTAAGGGTGTTACATTAATCCATTGGTGGATCTTGAAGAACTTACACCACCACCGATAAAAGACATCTGGTAAGTTGGTTCTCCCAAGCACTAATGAAGATCAACTGCCAATATTCTTTTGTATTATTTCTAAGAGAGAGAAAAGTCGAAAGGTACTCATCATGATAATTTTTATCAACAGAAAAGTCATACACCCTATCTTGAAATGTCAATCTCGTGTATTACTTTTCCTAGAGCAAGAAAAATGTGCGGCTAGCATTTTATGCATCCTTATTGTCATTAATGTACTTCGTGTGCACTTCAAATCGCTTACAAATACGTGCAAAAAGACGAAAATATGACAAAAGTGGTGAAAATCAAGAGTGCGAAAACAAGACTTCAGAGGAACATCCCTCAACATTTTCAAACAAACATTGCATACCGACCGATCTTTCAAAGTAATCTAGAACAAGACTTCAAAGGAACATCTCTCAATATTTTCAAACAACCAATACATACCAACCGATCATTCAAAGTACTCATATATTTGGTAACAGTTTGTCAGTGAATAGAATTTGTTTTATATGTAACACCCGCAATTCCATAGTTACTATTAAAATTTAAATTTCGGGATTTATCGAATTATTCAGTTGTCAAGTTGGAAATATTAAGCTCTTTGTACGAGTCGTCAACCTCGTTTGGTCCAGTGGTCTAAAAGAATATTAGATTTAGTAGTTTTAGCTTTCGAAAGTCTGAACGACCTCCCATGTGGCCGAAACCGTATGAAAAGTTGTCCAAGCGAAACGGTCAGAACACGACGGAGCAAATTCAGAAACACTGGCAACATGGCCTACAACTTGGATCGTAGGAAGCTCTTGGAGGTCATAATTCATAAAAACCCGATTATTTGTGTTAAAGAGAGATTTTTATCATAAAATAAAAAGGGAGTTGAGAATAAAATATTACTTCATATTTTTAAACAACATAAAAATATCAAATTATTGTTATAACTGATTATTTAATTTTAGTTGCTTCAATTATGACATTTCACTTTAGCATTATACGTGTCATATTTTGAGGCGGTTGACGTGGCATAGCGAATCATGTCACGTTAAATAAGCCACGTCACGACACCGAGACGCAAGTGAATTGTTCTTCTGAATAATTAATTCACTGGCCGTGGGCCGTGGCAACAAAGAAATGGCAATGTCTAAATTGCATCGTCTACTCTCAACGCCGCCGACCGGCCTCTCTCGTCCGGCTATCATCTTCTCCGCCTTCCGATCGGAATTCACCAACTCCACAAATCGATTCATCTCCAATTTGACTGAAAACCTTCAAACTCACCAAGATCAGGACGGAGCCACTAACGAAGAAGATAAGATCCAAAAAGCTCAAGGTCACGGAGAGGAAAACGATGAAGATGATGGCGAAGAGCTTGATATCAATAAAGAGACCGGCGAATATGGTGGTCCCCGAGGTCCAGAGCCTACTCGTTACGGTGATTGGGAACGTAATGGTCGTTGCTCTGATTTCTAAATCCACACACTTTTCGTGCGAAAGAGGTTAGGTTTCAGTCGATTAAAAATCTAGATCTTGTTATATGTTAATCAATGTTTTCCTTCTGTTTTTCTAGCTGTCTTACTAATTGTAATCGGATAGATATGGTCCATCTATATCGATATTCAGTAATAAACAAATTGTGATTTGGGCGTTCATCATTGCCATTGGAATTAAAGATCAATAGGTTTGAAATTCAAATTGTTTTGGGCATATTCGAACAAGGGACTTCAATTTCATGTTTCCATGTTTATTCACGATGGCAATAGAAAGCGAACAATCTTCCAAGGGAGGAGCCCTGTCGCTTTGTTGAACAAATGAAGGAATCATTATTACTGTTATTGCAGTTTTTGAGATGCTACTTTATTGGCATTAGAATGGGTGAAAGGTTCATGGAGAGTGTAGTGGTTATGTTCATCACTGGGTTTATAATGTGTTAGATTAGTCATCAAACTGAAAGAAGCAGGAAATACATTTGCCCTCTGATACGACTGGAAAATCAGCAAACTGAAAGCATTAGTTTACCCATTGAAACTAATCTCTACTTCTATGTGAAACTGGTAGCAACCCCCTACATTATTGAGCCTATGGAGACACTTAGAGACTTAGTGGCCGTTTATTAAACACTCATGGTAAGTGCTTACTGGGTTTAAGACACTTACCAACAATCCATTTCGATTCAATAAAGAGGATTTGTACCAAAATAACAGGCCCGTTCCTTAAGTTCTTGACCCAGTGCCAAGGTGATTGACTAACCGTGCCCTTTCAAGATAAGTGAGGGTGATGTCTCTTGTTCGGGTGTTTTTTGTATTCCCCTCGTGTTTTGTACTAAGATTACGAAGGCATAAGATGGACTTGAGTCATGAGTGCATAAATGATGGAAGAAATTTTATTGTACCAATACAACGAGCACGGACAAATAGCTGATAGAGATGGACACGAGGTAACAAAATGCATTTTGACCATGATGAGCTTTGACTCGGCCATCACCCATCAAAGCCAAAAGCAAAAAGCAAAAATGCCCAAGTGTGCAATCTCAATAAACGAAATGAGTTAAGCAACCAAAACATGCACCAAGTAATAACTCTTCAAAGATGTCGTTTTGTCACCTGTGATAATATCTTCTCTTTCTACTAAAGTGGCCAACGACAAGCGGAGTGGGATCAAGTTTGAGAAATGTTCAAACTTATCTGGTGGTAGCGACTTAGTGAAGATATTATACACATGTGATATTAATCAGAGACGCAAACGATTTTTGGCATGACCTAGGTTGCAAGTCAAGTCGCTCGCACACTACTAACCCCCCACACACATATAATCATATGTAAAAAGGATGTTTTTATATGATATTATAATTCATCATATTTCGTATATATTTTTCAAGGGGACGATTATGTTATGTTATATTAACGTATGAATATATATTGTGAACATAAATTAAATTAATAAAGCTAACTCTAAATATACCAATTGCGAATATAATACGAACATTCTGAACATCTTACTAATTTTTTTATAAAGTTGTTTACATTGTGTTCACAGTGTGTTCATTTTGTGTACACAAGGTGTAGGTTAATACGGTGATATGAGACAGAAGATGAGAGAAAAAGAGATAAATATGGATTTTTCCTAAAAACCCATTAACCATAATGATCTCCTTAATTATTTCATTAATTAATATAATTAATTATCTCATTAGTTAATATAATTAATTATTTTAAATTAATGGCTTAAAATGTATCTCACATGTTTTGGAATTCTCATATTATTAAACCCCTGTTAGTTATATTGTTCCTTATTTTATTCTATTTCAATATTAATTATTTGGGTAAAACTGTAAAAGTTGATTAATGAAAATTTTAACTGGTCTCACCCATGACTTGCCTACAAGGACACAAATGTAAAAAGGGTATTTTTCGGCTCACTTACATATTGAAGCTAGCGGGGGGGATGTGATCGAACCCGAAACTCAAAACTAGAGTTGTAAACAAGTCTATTTTTGACAAGCTACTCAAGCTCGAGTTTAATAATTCTCGAGCTCGAGTCGATCTTGAACACAAAATAAAACTCGTTTAACTTAACGAGTCAAGTTTCATAAAACCAATGCTCGACTTGACTCGTTTGAAAGCTCGATTAAAAAAATTTCTAGCCAAGTTGGACCATTTGAGCATATACTTTTTTCGAACCAACCATACTCATATCTTCATAAATAATACAATAAAAATATAAAAAAGTCAACTTCGAGCCAATAAACGAGTTAATCTATCATGAGTACGAGCCCATAAACGAGCATCGAGTTCGAGCTCGATAACTCAAAAAACATTTGAGCTCGGGCCTAGTATAATTTTTTATTAGTCGACTAGGCTCGGCTCACTTACACCCCTACCTAGACTTATGTTGTATTTAGATAAAGTCGTCCCACACATTTACCAATGGAGTTACAGGCCATATGGTTCAATTATTCAAGGGAACGGGGTGGGGACCCCAATCCCCATCTCGTCCTCATCTCCATCCCTACTTGAGAATATAATCGCATCCCCATCTCCATCCTCGTTCCCAACCGGGAATTCCCTTGTTAATATAAGATATTAAAAATCAATCATGCTCACCATATTCGATCGATAATGGTCTATATTTAAGTCTCACATATTTTTGAAATTTGTTTTCATAGAATATTAAATATTCAAATGTGAACAAAATTACAATATCGTATGTAAATATTTTATCAAGTACTTTCGGCTTTCATTTTTTTAATCTAAAAAAAAGTAAGACAACTCATAAAAAAATGTATATAAAAAGAAATGTCAAAAATACTATTTCTTAATCTATTTTTTTTAAATATAATTCTTCATAAATAATATATTTAATAAAATATATCTATAGTTATAATAAATAAGTAACTTGGGTGACATGTGTCATCTTCTTCTGGTGAGGCGGTTTTCTTGTTTTCCCGCCTAAACACGTATCTAGACACAATTTACATTAGTGGTTCAATTAGTCTCATTTAAACGTATCTAGACACAATTTATGTTAACAGTTCAATTATGCCCATTTGATTGATCACTACTAAAAAACAACTCTCCGATGGATATTGCCGTCAGAAACCCCCCGCCGTTAAATGCAAATTTCATCTGAAATCTGTCGATAATGTTCAAAAAAGTTTTATTTATATTTTTTTCCTTCCAAAAATATATATTTAAAAGAAGTTCAAAATTTCCGACGAATAATAATTTTTATAATAAAAAATTATATTTCGTCGGAATTTATTAAAAGAAGTTTTTTTATTTTTTCTTATAAAACACATATTTTTTTAAATAAATTCCGACGGAATATAACTTTTTATTAGAAAATTACAATCCGTCATATTTTTTTTAAACATATTTTTTTGGAAGGAAAAAGAATAAAAAAAAAATTCTTAAATATTTCCGATGGAGTATAAATAAATATAAAAATCAATTAAAATCTGTCGTAAATTTTAATTAGTTAACGCTAATTAATTTATTTAAATAAATTAGACCAATTTTATGACGGATTTCCGATGGATTTGTGACAATATTAAATAAGTAAAAAAATCCGTTACAAATCTGTCGGGAAAGTTGTAGAAATAAATTCTTATTTTATTTTTTAATTCAGTGATGGATTTGTGGCGGACGTCGATAAAAGTTGACTTTTCTTGATTATACAGAGCTCTGAAGTTTGAAGAGTTTTACTTCAGAGTTATTTCCAGAGTACAAGTCCAAGTCTAGAGTTATACTTAAAAGTTATTTCAAGATTAAAAGGAGTCGTTCTAAATTTACTGCTAAGTTTAAATTCAATTTATTGATATAGTTTCATTTCTAAATTTAACTTTATTATAGGGTTAACTTTATTTTAACTAATTATTGATATAGTTTCATTTCTAAATTCAAGTCTGAAGAATCATTTTTCAGAGTTGTTCTTCAAAATCATTTCAAGAGTACAAGTCTGAAGTAGTATCGTACTTTCGATGATTATTCATATCTGTAAGATAAGTTTCTGATATGATTTAATTTTTTCAAATTACCCCGTGTAATACACGGGAACGAACCTACTATATATAATATAGTAATATTCAGGGATGGGGGCCAAGCTGGGACCATGTTTCCAGCTTTTAACTTTCAGGGATCCTCGTTATCAGCACGTAAACTCTCGAATGGTATACAAAGTTATACATGTCCTATCTGATCTATCATTACTTGTTTGTAATTGTAAACTTAAATTAATGTTACATTTCATCCTTTAACCAACAAATCTTATAAGCATTTCAAGCATTATATCACATGTAATTTGAATCAATGTTACATTTCATCCTTTAATCTACAATTGGGAAATCTTGGTATTTCGTAACTTTTCTTGTGCTTAGAAAATCATTAGTAGGTCTCAAAAATATTCCAATGTCAATTTCTATTTTATTCCAAATCTCTGTGAGTATGTTATTCCCCTATCAATATTCCTATTTCGGTTGTTAAAAAAAGTATGCTAAGACTCTGTGTGGCTACTTTGTTGGCAAATGGCTCCCTTTCCCGGTTATTTCGGATGGTTTCGATAGGTTATGATTAGACAATCACACATTTATCACAACGATTACGGGCAAAATCCACTAAATGATTTGGTGTGATATGAGTGTGATAATCATGTGATATCACTATTATAACATCACTTGCGCACTCATGGTTTTGATAGGTTATGGTTACACAATCACACAATTATTACAAGGGAAGAGAAGAGAGTGGAAACAAACGTACAGGAAAAAAAAGGATAATTATAATTAATTAAAATAAAAATTATAAAAATTACTTAATTACATTAATGTCCTTATTAATTTATTTATATTTAATTTAAGTTAATTTATTAATTAAAAAAGTTTGAAGTTATTAGGTTGTTCTCGTATTCTCGTAAATTATAAGGGTTCTCGTTTAAACCTCCACCTATATATATATATATATATATATATATATATATATTAGGTTGTTCTCATATTCTAGTAAATTATAAGGGTTCTCGTTTAAACCTCCACCTATATATATATATATATATAGAGAGAGAGAGAGAGAGAGAGAGATAGAGAGAGAGAGAGAGGTTGGTTATTATTATACAACCCTTGACATTTGTACAACCAATACAACTCAATCTCAACCGT